TACATAATTAGATTTCGAAGGTTGTCTTTGGGGCTTGGTTCCCCTTTGTCAACACTTGGGGACGGACTACGATGTATTAATTTCTTGTCTTTGTTGGTGGATTCGTGCTGTCTACCTCTGACTTCTGTATTGTTTCCCAGACTGTGTGTATCATATAAGTCCCCTTGGGTTGACCGAGGGCTTATGCCTCCTCGGGTCGCCTCTACGAGTTGGGGCATTATAATTTTAAAAGGCTTTAATAAGCTAGGTCTATCAATCTCTTCTCCCTCGTGCACTGTATATACAACTGTCAGGTTATAAATGAGTTAAACTCGGTGGAGCAACAGCCCTAGTGGGCCACGGTCTGCAGGGCCCTTTTCTGTTTTCTTGACCTTTGGCCCCCCCCCCGGGGTGCATCAGCATATGCCCTGGGCAAGTTGTCAGCTTGTCGCAAGACCCCCGGTGTTTAGTCCCCAAGCGAACTTTATACTCATTTTATCGACCCACTTAAGGGACGAAAGGCTGAGCCAACCTTACCCAGCCCGGGGATCTAACCCTGGATCTGTGGTGCAGCTGCGCGACGCGCTAGCCATTTTCCCACTAGGTTATAAATAGGGGCTAAATTTATGTTACGTTTGACATAGTAAATATCCACTATTTCCGTAATATCATTTTTGAGAAAGCATTTTCCTCGTATCTGCAATTTAAACCGGTGTAAAATCTGTGGAAGAATCGAATCACCAATATAAAATTTAAAAATAGGATGAAAAACACACACACCTTAATTTGGCGTTAAATTTTGAATACAATTATTAAAATTTTAATCAAAAATTAGATTTATTTAAAATCTGTACCAAATTTAGGTTGCTTTTTTTATCTAATTTTATACTGTGGGAGAATGAAACGAGCTTTTGATACACTTTCCTAAAAGTGTTTTCACTAAAATATATTGTAGACATCAACTGGTATACTAAAGTTCACAAATATTGGGGTGAAATCATCATAAAACTCACTCCGTCCAGACTGCATATCTTCTACACTTTTTAAACCTTCAGTTATGAAGCGTTGAGAAACCGATAATGTTTTCAAAACTTTGTTTTCCTGGTTGTTTGGTTGTAGTAAATTTATCGAATTTGTGAGGTCAAAGGGCTTTCATCCTCTCCTGCCTCAGAGTTTATTACCTCTCATAGCTTTTTTTCTTCTCTTATAACTTACTTCGTTTCGAGTTTCGTCTTCTGTATTGTAGAATTCTCTACTGTTTAATTCTGAGTTATAGTTGAAAATGAAGAATCTTAAGAACTAGTAAGCGAATAATCGCTTGAGTTCGTGTACAGGAAACAACAAGTTAGAAGGATGAAATAACCATTTGTTATTCCAATTAAAGTTTAACAAAAGTCCGTCTTGGAGTTGTACAATAAAGCCGACACTTGGGCTTGAACTTAAGAGACTAAGAATTAACTAAACTAATCTTAACTAAAGAGATATAGCCGAAGCTATCAAAATTCTAACAGAGTTGGCCTCTTAAAGCTAATTTGACTGGGAAGCTATCAAGAGCCTAAAGTACGGCCCAGCGTAATAATAGCTTACGAGAGAGTAGCCTAAAAAGGCGGAAGCGTGCAGCCAGAATATCTGGTATCTCTCTTACTAAGACTTAGCGGTTATATACCGCTCTTCCTATTTAGCATTCAGACGTGATTCTAAAACTACGTTCTGGCCGGAAGTGGTAAGTTGAAATTAAGAATCAATAGGAAAGGAAGTTTAACTCAAAACTTAATTGTTAATTAAATTAACATAATCCTTACAATATTATCAATTCTTAAGCGTTTATATAGGGAATGATGCAAAAACACTTAGTGGAGCTGCTGTAAATACAAGACCAGTTTAAAAAGTATTACTCAGTGTGATAGAAAGAAACAGAGCTGTTTAATTTAATAAACAACATTTTCAATAAACAACGTGATATGGTTGCCCATTCAGTATAAAAAAAATAAGCATCATATAAAAATGAGTGCTCCATAAATTCTTTTTTTCTACTGTCCGTAACATGAAGTAAAAATTAATCTAATTTTTGTACTGAAACACCCTGTTACTTTGATTCTATACCAGTTCAAAATGAGGGCTTTCATCTAATAAACAGCTACATCTATTTTCTCCTAGAATTTTATAACTCCCTTTACTGTGACTGGAATGTAGTCAGGCAAACTGATGCCACTAGATTAATCAAAGTTACATAGCGAACAAAGATCCGATATTTTAAAGATGAAGTACTTTTTTTAATTGCGTTAGTACAACCATCGATCAGCTAGCTCGAGCTCGAATAAGATAAACTTTAATCGTATAAAAATAACGTTTTAACGATAGTTGGGCACAAAATGCAAATTATATAAGTAAAGTTTATATTAGATGCTAAGTAAAAAGGTACAGCCATATCCGAAAAGGTTTGTATTATGTTATACAAGGGGATTCAGTTAAGCATGTGGAAACCTCCAAGAGACATAGACTCCGAAAAGGTAAATTGGAGTCACACAGCAATTCAAGGTTGGAAACGCCATCTTCATGTGTTCGTGTACAGAAAGAATGAAAATGAAAATGCAGGGCGTAAGAGAAGAAAGTGCTGTACATTACTAACAAGATATTTGCGAAATGCACAGAAGAAGAAAAAAGGATTTGAAAATTGCGACATAAGCTGTATCATACGCTTGAAATCTTTGAAGAGTGAAATGATGTGCATTTTTCGAAAATTCCTGGTGTATTTCAGACTTCTGAAGCATCTGTAGAAATGCTTGATAAAGTTTTGTTTCCTCCTAATTTTTAATGAGGAAATTGTAATCTCGATGTAATCTTAAAACAAGTAATCAAGGCATGTTCAATCTAGTGACACTGTAGGTCAACGAACATGATCACAGCGTTTCACTGATATCTAGATGTCATGTTTAAAGAATGACAATCCCCACTTATGAAATGCACGGATCCCCATATTGCTGAAACCACACTGCACGGCTGATCAACTGAGGAACTTGTTCGTTATATATCCATAACAAGACCTCCCAGAGAAATCAGTGCCTCTTTTCATTCAGACAAATAGGCATGAGGTATGAGCCAGTTACGTGATCCCTAACAATGCCGGCCCAAGTATGAGTAGTAGGCCGATTTTGTGCGGCACGTGTTCTCTATATATAAATATATACAGCACGAGATTCTTCACCATGTATATTACATTCGTGTTATAGCATATGATACCCTGTTTTACTAGTATATGATATCGATTTATGTCTATGCAACTTAGCTTTATCTGAAACTTGCTTATACACGATTAGCTGAATCATCTGCATAGCATTAGAAACTGCATTCATAAAAGTTCCCAACGTTATTTCCCGCCAGTGGTATCACTTAACTGTTCAAGTTTTTGTTACTGTTTTGGAGAAAGTAACAATGTATATGAACGTTGATATTTTCTTCTTGAGCTGAAGTAAGTATGGAATTAATTTGATTAATATCGTAATACAGTTCATATAATTAAAAGAAATCATACTGAGCACAAATCAAGCATGATTAATGTCCCTGTAATAATTGAAATTGGCATTCGTCACACCGTGTTTTCTAAATTTAAGAAGTAAAGCCATCAATCAGTTTTGAATAACCTTCTATGCAGCATTGCTGATGTTCTGATCCACATCTATACGAAAAATAAAATATAATTAGGTGTCTCTTCGTGTTCATTTTGTGGTTACGAAATTTAAAGAAAAAAAAATCCATCATTAATCTTGATTAAATATAATATATTTCGACATCTTCTATGTTTTACGTAAGCATTTGAAATAATTTTCATTTTCAATCCATTAGTACAAATTCACTTTGGCAATATATATATGGTTGAACATCAGGCACATTTACAAATATAATACATAACAGTGATTATTCTCTACGACATGTTATCATGTAACAGGAAGTTCTAATTTCGATAAATATGGCGCACATACTTCGGTAAAAGTACCATAGATATGAATACATTTTACTGATGTTGAACAGAAATTTGGTCTCCAACAATTGGACGCTACGTTACGATTTCAGAAATGCGTATTTTAATGAAAAATTCGAAAATGATTAAATGAGAAATCGAAGCAAGAATGATTTTAATCTGATTCATGGGATATTTACTGCATAAAATAGGACATTTCAGTTGCTATTAATAGTTTTTCAGCAAATCGTGCATATAACTCAGAAAACTTTTTCTGCTTGTTACCCTTATGACAACTTTTTAGCAGAGTTTTAATATTTTTTAAGTTATTAATGTGGTAGGAATATGCACTAAACTCACAGAGGCATTTCTAACAAAAAGCAAATTTCAATCACTTATTCATATTTAATTTGTACTTCAATGCTTTTGACTAGAAAAATTAGTCGTATCATAATGTGCTATATTATTATTATTATGTTTTTACGATAAAATTCTAGATTTCCTTTCTTACGAGGTCCAACAGTGATGAGTGGCTCACTTTTTCACTTCCATTTATTTTTTACTTTTCATTATTCCTAGCAACCGGAATAGTGGTTAACGACGCTGACTGCTATACCGAAGGGCCCGGATTCGAATTCCGAAGAAGGCATGGTTATATGTAAATATACAGTGTTTGTGCGTCATGAGGGTACTCTAAATATGCGGTGAAGAAGTTGGTGGTAAGAGAAGAGGGGTGAGAGATCCTCAGACCCGTCCCCTCGGAGTGCTGTCCTTTAAAAGGGGGTGGGGAGGAACTGAGCAAAGTCGTACTGTCACCTGATTGTCCCAAAACCTACTGCCACCTTGGTACTCAAGGGTTTTACCAAAGACAGGTGCGATCTTGCACTCCTTACCACGATGAATTTCGTGGGCTTCTGATGCTACTGTTAGACAAGTGAGATTAAGTCACAACAACATATCATTATAAATTTTTGTGCTGTGCAATGTATTTAAATTTTATGCGCTACGGATTTAATAAAGTCTGATTTTTTTACATGAGGGTAGTTTTAGAGGGATAACAAGACAAATATTTTTTTAATGGGGTGTATATAACAGGGAGGGCCATGATTCTACTGGGATATGCATCTTCAATCGGTGGAGAAAGGAGAAAACATCTGATATGCCAGCAGTTTGCCATAGATTTTTATTCTCTGGGATTGAACGAAATGACTGTATGGTATATTTTCCGGTTTTCCAATAAATTACGTAATATCGGAACATTTTGGAAAGGCTTAATGTAAATAGTTTTAAATTGCTTTTCCATAATTAAATAACCCACTCCCATCTCCGAAACTTCGTATAGACCACAAACGTAATCATTGAAAGACACTGATCTTTAGAGCCTTTTGCAGTTTTAGCATTTCTATACTTAATGCTACTTTTCTGTTAACTTTTGTGAGCCTAGCAACTGCTGAGCGGAATATAGAATAAAAATAATTCGTTATTTGCGTAAACGGCAATTATGAAACGAAAGGGTTTTTATGCAGAGAGGAGGAAATGTCATGACGATACTGTGTTTCCAGAAAAGGGCCATTTCTTACGGTTAAGGAATTACTTTCTATTTGCCGAATAATGTAGTAAAATTTACACGCTACTCACATTCGTCTAAAATAATTTAGTTTTTTCTTAAAATTTATACCGAGTTATATTAGTATTTTATAGTATTTAGGAAGGAGAAACAGAACACTTAAATCAATTTATGACAACCTTAATTTCGTTAGCCGTCCAGTCGGGAAAGTGGTTAGTAACTCTGACGGTAGTACCGAAGGGCTTGGGTTCGAATCTCGGAGTAGGTATAGATGTAAATTGCCTTTCTTTTTATAGGAGGTAACAGTGGCCAGTTGCCGCTTTTTAGGTGCTTCCATAATAAAATGCATACTGCTTGTGGTCTTAGTAGTAGCCAAAACCTAAAATGGCTAGTATCAGCAATAAAAGAAAAAAAAAAAAAAAAAAAAAAAAAAACTCCTTATTTTCACTAAGCCTAAAAAGAATAATTAACGACTGCAACTCCAGATTACTAGAGTTCAAACGACACAATGTCATGTACTAGAAAAGTTTTGATATTTACATTTGAGGAAGGAATACAATATATTTTATAGCTTTACTTAGTTGTTTTCTTTTTGTGTCTACAGTTGATTTTCGTTTGATATTTCTTAAATAGTTCTCAAAGACGCTCTAGCGTAATTATGTTTGTTACATAGTTTATCTGCAATTACTGCAAAATTTACCCATGTAAGAATTTTTTTGAAGTGGTTTTCTGTTTCTTAGATGCCTTAAAGTATTGTTCTATTTATTTTAGTCTCCAGTCTCGTGCATTGCTTTCCTTCTTCACCGCTAAAGCTCAATCAATGACACAACTCAATTTCTTTTGTTTTCGGCAGCAAATTTCTCACCATGAGGTTAGCTTCCTTTTTGACCATGTCTTCTGTTACAATATACATTGAACATGGCTGGTCTAAAAATTCTATTTACAAAGTTCCTAACTGGATTATCGTTTTCGTGAAATCGATACAGCGGAAAGATAGTGTGTAAATTGTGAAACAAATACAAGGGTTAAGGAATCGATTCCTTTTCATGCATCGATTATTTTCAGCGACTCACATTTGCTTAAAGCGCCCTCTCTGTCATTTCGGTGCAAATCATTGTTTAATATCAAAAGGCATTCAGAAGCAGTTTGAGTATAATTCTAAACTCGCTTTATGCTACAAATTTATTGCGTTTTATTTCGAGTTTAGTTCACTCAACTCAAACTGATTGAAAGATCGCTCTTCGTGAGTTAAATACTTAGATGAAGTTTAACACTGTGGAATCGAAAAATCCGTATTATAAGCAGTAAATTTATTTATAATTATATGTTTATAATTTATTTAGTTACTCTCACATGAAATTTATTAGTTTATCCTCATAGTACGTTTGTGAAGTAGAAAACTTGTCATCAGTAAAATCATATATTGTCTACTTGTCATCGTAGAATGATATTTATATATCTGAGATATTTCGTTTTACCATATTTTATTTTTTTTTCATCTTCATATATCGTTTTCCGAACTAACTGTTTCTTCACTGTATTGTTTTTGTAAAGTTTAGACTTTAGATAATATCAAAAAAATAAATACGCTAATTAAAAGCAACTGAAGTGTGCTTATTTTACACAGATAACGCTAAATACTTCGCTATAATTTATTAACAGATATGGAAGTTTGAACATAAATACCAGATTTTTGTGCCTTTTCAGTTTATAAATCCAGATTTTTTAAAATTTCACGTTAAGTATATTAATTACATTAAAGAAATAGAATACTTGAAACATATTTTTCATAATACGGTTACGTAAATTTTTCTGTTTGATTACAGTTATCTTGATAGGTTGTTTATATGTAAGGCAAATAATTATTTTTTCTATTTAGTGGAATACAAATATCTATACATATTTTTTGATAATAAACCATTTGTCAAAATGAATTGAAGAGATTTATGTCCAAGTGAGTCTTAAACTCTGAAAACAAACCGAGTCACATATACAAAAATATATTTTTTGATTTAAAATTTGAAAGATCTTTTAAAAATAAGCTTACGTGTTTAGTCGTAATTTAAAGACTACTACAAAAAATTATTTCGACATAGATAAAAAATTCATTAATAAAATATATTGTATTTTATGACTGATTTTCTTCTGAAGTTCTATATTTTCGAATATTGTAAAAATAGTTCATTTTAAATTTTAATAAGCATATTAAGAATCTTGATGATTCAAAAGTGCACAAAAAAATAATTGATTGATCATTAGGTTGCGTAAGAAGGTCTACAATTTGAAAATTGCTCAGAAATTAGAGAAATATCTTTAGGAATAATCTGCTAAGTTTTTATCAACAATTAACTAGGAGTAAACTCATCCTAAAATTGCGCTATTTTTAGCAACCAAGACGAATTTAAATTTCCAAATATGTCGAAATAGAATTGGCTTATTTAGCCTACTACATCCAATCGTTGATTGGTGTTGCCATTGGGCAGTTCTGAATAATTGCAAAATATATATGCAAACAGTATTACACTCACATTAATCATGAAAATAACTGGGATACAACATTGATAGAAATGAAGTACATAACATTTCAATTCTCGTTTCAGTCCAGAATAACAGTTATGTCTTTAATTTATATATTAAAATGGTTGGCAAAGCTAAAAACAGCCAATCGCAAAAGAACTTCCAGAAAACGCGATTTAAGAATTTATAGAAATTTATACTTAAGAATCCTGTTTCCTTTATTTTGTTAATAATCCATGCAAGTAAGACTTAACCTAAACATTTCTTTATTGTTAGAGTGCTTCCTTCTAAACGGAAACGCATAAATTTTGGTATAACATCTGTTGTATTAATATCTAACTAGAGGAATATCGCGCTTAATTTTAAATTATTAAAGGAAAAAGTACTGATATCTCTACAAATATCTGATTTCTGAACGATCTGGATATTTAAATGCGATTGACTATTTCAAAATGTAAAACAGTCCTTTGGATTATTAGGCGAAAGCCTACTTTCAGAACAATACGTTGAACGATTGACATAAAACACGTCAACTTGGGTATGATTAATATATACACAATGGTAAAACTTCTAACACGGCGATTTTCACAACAAACCGAGCCTAGATGACATCGAAATTCTAACACATTCTCTTGAAAATTCCAAACACATGCGATAAATGGTCACAAGTCACACACAACTGGAACACATCGCTTTGATGGGAAATTGGGAATATATTTTCAATAAACAACAACAGATGGCGCTGCCGCATATTTGGCTTGAGTTTACTGCCTCAGTTCTGGGTTACGAATGCTAGATAATGATTGAACGACGCATCAAAATGTAAAGTAATGCCACCGGAGGAGAGGAAAAATTCTTTGAGGTTCGTTTTCAAAATTAGCAGTCTTCTTTTATTCAGGTCGAGAGTCGTAAACTGCACTAATATTGTTATTGGTCTTCAAATTCATCAAAGCAATTGAAATGAATAGAAACAGGATGTGGAAATATAATTACAAGAACTAAACGAAGGTAAATACGTATAAAAAAGTAAATACAACAACAGAGACTAGATTTAAGTCATTGCAGCTATATTCTGTCTGCAAGAAGCAATACGAAGCACTGTTCCATTTTAAATCAAATTTTAGTTCCAAGACTTCCAAGGAGAAAAAAAAAAAAAAAAAAAAAAAAAAAAAAAAAAACACTGAATATAGGTCATAAAATCATCGCTGTCACAGTTTCAGCTTCACAATGAACGTATTTCGTTATTCTTGTTAGCAGAATGTGTATGTCCAATGCATGCAATTCTATTTAAGTGCCGTTGAGGACGGTTTTCTTGCTTTAAGTGCCATTATGTGCAGTCACACGCTATTTTGCTGCTGGGTGCCTTCGAAGCCTTCGACGACAGTCTGGAGAATGAAGTGAATAGTGATCTTGTATATGCTTTCCATGTTTTCAGTGTACCGATCCTCTAAGGTTTCTTTAACTGCAGCAAGGAAGGGAGCTTCCATTTTCTACAAGAAAAAACAACATCATAGATTTTTAATGCTTCATAAATAAATAAAAAGATTAAATAAAAATAAATAAAGTTAAATTTTAAATAAATTTTCTTGAAATTACAAGAATAATTGTTTAATGTGCTCAGCTGCCTCACCAGTTAAATCCGTAAATTATACATAAAATATAACAAATAATTAATTAGAATTAATATTTTCTTAAAAAGACTAAGTTACACGTCAAACACGCGAAATGCAAGTTTTTCTGTTTCCCCTTAACTTCTGTTTGTTGTAGCATGCCTAATTTTATAGATCAAGCACAGAAGAATGTAATTAATTTTTAACAAATTAAGAAAATCATCAACAAAGGGTATGAGAAAAATGCATCGCAATCAAATTCGTACGTTGTGAAGTAATATTCAACCCTAAAAACTTATTTTACATGGGAAAAACTCATCTTTGTCTAGTACCGAAAGAACGGTTTTTGGAGTTAATAGCATAAACAGGCCATTAAACTTTCAAGTGATGGGGATTCTCTACAACAGTACTGGAATATATTCCATTCAATAACTATTTTATTCTATTTTACTATTTCAGACATTTGCCTCTGTAGGGATCAAATACAATGCAAGATATTTAGGAAACCATTCTACGCACATTTTTGAAAACCGTTTTCATGAAATTCTCTAGCTAATTATTTTATAAAGCTTTGTAATTTGATATACAGAGAAATTTTCACTATGCTAACAATTAATTTATCAACTTATAAGATATTTTTTCTCTCCTTTCCGCCTTCTGCGTGTAACTGGAAGCACAACTGACGCGTAATTCAGGAGGTCCAAGGTTCGAATCCCGGCGAGAGTACTGCCCATTTTTCACGTCTCCTACTTCAAACTAACCTAATTACTCTAGAAAGTAATGTGAGTTAAATGGAAATAACATTAAGAAACGCAACAATCAATAAGCATAATTCCTCCACTAGTTACAGTAAATATCAGGAAGAAAGGAATAATAACCTAAATGCAGGATAAATTACTCAAGTTAAAAAAAAAAATATATAGTTTAAAATCCTTAGTTAATGTCTATACATTTTAAAACATTATCTAGCGATTTTTGAGGCGGGTTTCATGATCATCATCAAACAGAATTTCCTTAGCATCGTTATGAGACTAAAAAGAAGCTTAATTTCTTTCGTAATTAATTCTTGTCAGGGCTCTAGTTTTGTATTTATTTGCCCGTGGGAAGCAGCCTCCCCACCTGACCACAAGGGGCCCTATGACTTCCTAGTTTTTTTATGTAATTAAGAAAAAGATCAGAAACTTTAAACAAAATGTTCCTTAAGATAAAATAAAATCTGATAACTTTTCAGATTTTACAGTATTCCCAAACGGGCGTTTTTTTAACGTTTTGTGTGCTACCTTTATTTATTAAATATCATGTTCTCCTCACTTAAAAAATAAAATTCAATTCAACAGCAATATCGCATGAGCATAGCTCTTAGAATTTCCGATACACAGTCTCGCGCGCTGGAGATAAAAATATTTTTTTTTTCACCGTACAATATTGCCATTGTTCGCTTTGAAAACGTTGAGTTTGTTAATCAAAAATTCAAAAGTGTTACAAAACATGAAATCGATAACAAAACAAATTTCAAATTCCAAATTCAGGCTTCCAGGTGACCATATTCCGTTTAAGATTACGTTATTCAAAATTTGACGGCTCTAGGTACCGTTGTTTTATCACAATGCGAGACACATACATACATTTATGCAGATTCTTCATTATTTAATTTTTTTAAATTAACACAGGCCCTAATATTTGGTGGCAGCAATTTGAAAAGCGAACCGACATTTATAGTGAACCAATGCAAAATGCCAAAACGAAATTAATAGCCCATCTGGGCTAACGCCCTTTGGGCGTAAAAAATAAAAATAAAAAACTAAACGAGAATATCGTATACTTACAAGTACAAGTTAATTGGCGTAAAAAAAAAGTGGTAATATTTTCATTTTGAAAAACAGAGCTAAAATTGAAAACACATGTATAAACTGAATTTAAAATTAAGCTAAATCCGACTACATATCATGGAGCGGTAATGTCGAGGAACATTGGTAGTTCGACCTGGAAACCCGACGAAGGGGCTGGTCGCATAAGAGGTTTCATGGTTTTCCTCATGTACAAAGTGGATATGAACTACTTACTTGCTCTTAAAACGTTCTCCACAAAGGCACCCCTCCCTTTAGCTACATAGCCCTCGATTTGCTTTGTCTTAATAACCTAACATCAGTTCTTCTAATTTTATCACATTTACATAATTTGTGGACTTGGCAATAGACAGCGGGGTGAATTTTACTGTGATTCGCAATCGTGATAATCATTCTGAAGTAATTACAAGTGCAGTAATTCTCCTCTCAGTTTGTACAGACGTTAGGTTTATTTTAAGCAGGAGATTGGTCAGTGCCCTCGTCGGAACTCGAAACTGGACCTCTAGAATATGCGCCGAGTGTGTATTATTACACCACAAAGGCATGCAGGAAGGAGAGAGAAAATACTTTATACACTCCCCCTTTCAAAGGGCGACTGGGGATTAGAGGACCCAATCGTCAAATCTTAGTGATGAAGAACCATCATCAATCACCTTTTAGTTCGGGCCCCACTGTAGAGTCATTAGGTTTATTTTAAGCAGATGATGTGAAAAATGTGAAATGCCCTCGCGGGGACTCGAACTTGGACCTCTCGCATACACATTCAGTATGCTATCGTTACACCATGAAGGCATATAGAAAGGAGGTGGAAAATACTTTGTAAGTTGATCTCTCTCTTTTAAAAATAAAATATAATTCTTCATTACTCCTATGTAGAACTCCCGAACAAAAATGATTGCGCATTTTACTAGCTTTAAGTTAAAATTTATTATTTTTCGACACTAACAATCTATTGCTTGATGTTAATTTTTGGTCAATGAGAAGTAGATTTAGGACTGGAGTTTTCTATTCATGTTTAAATCTCTAAAATACCAAGAACAAATATGGATGGATATGGGTATTTATCATTTTTTTTTCTGACCTAGACGAGAAACTTGTACTATGGATTATTGAGTTAGGAAGAGCGGATTTATCGTAATGCGCACAAATATCCGGATCAGGGCGCAATTGTCCAAAGACCCTTAATTCCGAACACGAAAACCAATGGATTTGTTTCCTTCCGTCAATCGATACGACTTCGATCTATGAACTCGTACAACGCTTGATACAGAATTACAAAAGAGCCAGAAACAAAAATTAAATTATCTGATGAATTTATTTCCAACCTCGAAAGAAAAATAACTTTAAACTGTCGCTAATTGGGAATATTTATAAAATTCTGTTATGGTTTGATTTCCTTTCAAATTTCATAGTGGAAAAAACAATTTTTTCAAAAACTACTGATTGTCAGAAGACTAGGTTCTAGATTTGTTCTGTGTTATCGTGAACGGTCACATTTACCGCTTTTATATTATATTTCAGGGAAAGTCTTTACTTAAAAATGGAAAGCTCTGGAATAGCATCATAATAGCAACGTGCCAATACCAAAGTTTGGACAGATCAGTATTTTAGAATGTCTGGATAAGTATGGAAAAATAAAGAAGCCTTTCTTAATAAACACCGTTGTTCGCAAGGTTACTGTACTACAAGGTTTGCTCTTCTCGACCAAGGCCAAATACTGTGGTGACGTCGACATCTTTGATTCGTAAATCTGACTAGGTAGATACATCACTGTCTCCAGTGTCAGAAATAGAAAAGTTTGAAAGAGTATAAACTTTTCTGTCTAGTGACCTTGGTTGCTTGAGTGGGACATTTCAAGTTCATCTTACGGAAAGACGGAGGAATGATGCCAGGAAATGAAGTTATATGGGGCTGTGACTTCTGACAACCTTATATTTCTACTGTAGCCAATCGACGTTTTGCGCAATAAGCGTTTCAAAGAAAAATTTTTGGACAAAATTGGTGGAATGGATGCTGTCTGCAAACAAAGCAGTTATGAACTGGAGCAAAGTAAAAAGATACCGATATTGTAAGGACCGCGAAATGTGTGAAAGCAGCCGATCAGAGAATTCGGACAGAAATAATCGTCTGATCGTTCAACAAATATTGCATCAGTAATACTTATTGATAGAGCTGAAATTATATTATCTATGCATTTGCTGAAGAAAGTGATAGCTTTCGTAGATCACAACCAGTTTTCGCCTTCTAACTTTCTCGCCAATTTTAAATCTGGCCACAGCAAAAACGCGCTTGCCCTTGGGCTTAAAGAAGAGGACCCAAAAGGAAACTGTTCTGTTAGATGCATCAAGTAGTAAGTTATTCGGAATTCTTAAAATTTTTCTAAATAATTTTGCATAAGACACTATTCATTAAATTGAATATTTTTGTAATTAAAAAGTAAACTGTTAATTTTTTCGTAATTATTTGTAACTCTTGTATTTTTAGTTTGATACTTGCGTGATTTATTATTTCATGTATTTATCGCGATATTTCCACTTAGTAAATTTAACTGAATTAGAATAAGAGATGAAGCATCGTGTAGGGAAATTCTGAATATGCATATAGATTTATTAATTTTTGAAACAATTGTTAATAATAAAAAAATATAATTTTTTTTTTAAAATTACATATGCATGGGAAGGACGAAATATGATGTTTGGACAATTGAGAGGAAGGTGAGATAAGCTAATTCCCCCTGATGTGTTGGTGTTGTCTCATAGACTTTTCAGTTTATTACGTTTCTAAAATTTAAAATTTACTAAAAATTTTAACTCCCATTGTATGTAATTTTTAATTGTATTTACTTTAACTACTAACTCTTGTTTAATAGACAGGAGATTACCTTGTAGAGACGTTAAGATAATTTTTGGAAGCAGGAGAGATGAAAAATGAGCAATGCGCTCGCCGGGCTCGAACCACGGGCTTCTCGAATACGCGCCGAGTGTGCTGACAATTACACTACGAAAGCATGCTAAGGAGGTAGGAGAAATACCT